CATTACTGAGTTTGTAGCACTGGCTGTGGGCTAATAAATACGTGACCTGAATCCTTTGTAACCAAATCAGCAGGTATTCCCATGTGACTTGTTACTTATGAGTGCTTAAATTAAAATAAGTTTGTTATATTTACCAACATGATTTAGCTGAGACTTCCATGCTTAGTTTCGAAGTACTTGGTATAAAGGCTGTCAAATCAATTGTGCGCACTTGGTCCAATCTATTTTCCATCATATTGTCACTGTTGAGGACTGCAAAGAATGCGGCATGAAATACCGAAGACTGGGTACTATCATTTGACATTATGAAACACGTCTGATCTCTGCCCCAATCATTTCCACCTCACTCTACAAAACACCTACTTTTTTACAACATTGAGTGGCCTTAAGTTTAGAAAATGTTTCTACTACTGCTCCCCAAAACGTCAAAATACTCCAACAAAATTTACGTTTTTTATTGCTCTAAAAAAATGTAAAACGGCAGCACTGACCCGTAGTTGCGTATGTAACGTATACGCCCCGTAGTAACATACACAATGAGCTAACACGTTTACTCGCACGCCTTAACACAAAAGTCATATTACTTAAAAGTAAATAAATATTGGCGTGGTAGATTTTTACAGTATTCCATATGCACATATATATTACTTACTTCACGTAAATATCCATTTTGGAATGAGTTTCGAGTGTGCAAATAAAAATTGAAAAAAAATGGAATTTAAAATATTTTTTAGATTTTTTTTTAGTTTTTCTTGTGCGTTTTTTGATGTTTTTCGCGTCTTTTCCTGCCTAATTAGCTATTTTGTTTTGTCTTCTTTTATTGGATTTAGGTCCTAAGATCCGTTCCCTGCTCATACCAAAAATTTGGAGCGAATAGCAGTACCCTCGTTAAAGTTTTTTTTTAAACGTACTAAATTACAAAAAAACAGGGACCGAACATAACAGTTATTGAAGAAAACTGTCATTGAAAAATTCATTATGAAGGAAATGTTCTACAACTAAGTGATACATCCCATTCGATTTGTTTTTTCACCGAAAATTCTATTTGAAAATAAGCTATTATTTGTAATTTTTTTGCAAAATTCAAAAAAATTACAATTAATTTTAATTTTTATTTTACAAATACAAAATAACAATTATTTTTGACTTTTATATAAGTAATCTGCAAATAACAGTTATTTTTTCATATTATGTGTCTTATATAACAGTTATTGAACCAAAGTTTACTACGACTTATACAGATGACTTTCATAAGTATTATTTTAAAAATAAATAAATGTAAAGGTCAGTGACCGATTTATATTGATGACTTTATAAATAAAAGTCATCAGTAACTGTTATCTAAGATGTATAATTTAAAAATTAAAAATAACTGCTATTTGCAGATTATTTAGATAAAAACCAAAAATAATTGTTATTTTGGATTTATAAAATAAAAATAAAAAAAAAAACTATTACTTAAGCAGTAATTAATTAAAAGTAACAAAATAATTACTACAGAGTGGTTATTTTAATAAAAGTTGTAACTGTTACGGCCCCTGCAAAAAATCCCTTTTCAATAATATGAAAAAATGCAAAGCTTTTTATGTACATATTCGTTTGTTGATGCATTTGTGGTGATGACAGAGTGATTCGCCGCATGAAATTAGTGTAATCTAAATTAAGTAGGAGGCGAAACGTAAAATTCCATTAGACTAAAGCCAAAGGCTGAACAGCATTAAAAGGTTATTTAAAATCTACACGGAAACTGATTGATGTACGTCTTTCAGCATTGAATTTTTGCAATATTAAAATGCATTTGAACATTTTTTTTTGCGTCACTGAATCTTGTTGGCATTTAACCAAATTAAAAATTAAAATGTTTGTTGATTGACATTTGCCACAAATAATGGTATTAGAATAAATTGTGCACACAGTGCACTCGCGATAACGTGAAATAATTAAACTAGAGGAATTGACCTTTATGAAATTGTCCATGTTAGCGAATGTGAATGAATGAAGATCAATATGCTTCTGGCCTATATATTAAGGCTTGTGCAAACTACTTTTTCCGCTTAACCCGCCTTTTTCGTTGAAATCTTTTCTTTAAGACATAGCTGGGCACACCAACACAGTCTCATTTTGTCATGGGATTAGTGCGTCGCGCTCAGTTATGGTTGCCGCATTTTTTATAAATGTACTAAAAGTGGTATTTTTCGTGCATGGGTATTTTGGCCTATTTTGCTTATACCTATAGTGTAATAATNGAACTCACCTTGATTAGCATAGTCATTCCACGAAAAGGAAAAGGAGCGGTTGACTTAATTCGGTGGCTTAAAAATGTAGGTAGATTGTAAGCAAACCATAAAAAAAAACTTTAAACACATTGTTCGTTAATATTTTTACTTGAATTTTTTACCATATCTTCAAAACGTAATTCCACAGGAAGCACAAGCGTTAAAATGGTTAGGCGACTTAAAAGTAAAAACCCACTGCCGCTTTTTTGTTAAGCAAATCTTCACCAAATACACAATAGGTCCGTTCCTTATCTTTTCTGACTAAAATCTGAAAAGTGTAAAAATTCAAGAGCGCAAGGGCCCTGTCACACGGTCAGTATTTATTGACGTAATCCAATTATCGCGATATTTATTGGCGGTGTAGCATGCAGTATTGATGGATGGTGATGCATATCGCAAAATTTCTAAAAATTTAGAAATCTGGATCACGGATCGCAATACCGTCAATAAATATTACTACTTATTAATATTAATACTTTCAAAATGCGATCCATACATTTCGTCAGTACATATTTTACTCTCGCTCTCGGGGTTTTCAAACAAATTGAACAAATTTTAATTAACATTGGAAATTTTAAAATAATTATGGAATGCATTATCTGTAAATTATACGTACAAAATAAAAACATTTTCTTGCGTTATAATAAGCGTTCAGCACAAAAATTATGCATATACTGACGCGATAAATATTGAACATGTAGCATTCGTGCGCGATCCATCAATCCACCAATATGGATCGCGATCCAAAAATCGTGATAATTGCTGACCGTGTGACAGAGCCCTACGGAAAATTCGCTCACTAAAAGAGAATAACACCAAATAGAATAACCAAATTTTTAGTCCAAAAAATGGCAACAACAAGACTAATGTAAAATAAAAATAGAAATGTATGTACAAAACACATTCACACAAGCACAAGCACAGTAATCACTTACTATATCAATCATTTTTTGCCTCCTTCCCTTTTCAATTCTCATTTTTTGGTTTTTAGATTATTCTCACTTTTCCTTTATTTTTTAATTTCCGTTAATTTAAATTCACACTTTTCAAGATTTCGCCAGAAAAAATTCGGACTGAAGACAGTCCCTATCACTGAGAGTTGCTGTCTCATTTCTGCTGTAATTTTCGAGTTAAGAAACGCCTTTTGGACCAAATCTGACTACCTCGGACTATTTCTTACTATTTTTTAGGAAATAAGGAATGCAACTTATATTAGTAATTCAAACGTGTTTCTTATGCTTAAATTAAATTTAAGTCAACGTCATATCAGCTTTAAATCTACATTTCATTGTAAACTATAAAGTATTTTCCATAAAAGAGTTAAACCAAAATGGGCTCAGATATGTGTGAGATGGGCGTATAAAACTAAATTAGACTAAATCAGTACATATGGTATCTCCCTTAAAAAGTCCAACATACGAGCCTTTTTTTATTGACTCACAATTAATCCACAAGTTAAAGAAACCAAATACTTTGATATTACACTAAACGCCAAGCGGAGAGCGCATACTATGAAAATAGAGAAAAGTTTGACCTAAATCTTAACACAGGGTGCATTCCAAAACGTCAAAATACAAAGCATCAGTCTCTTTTATTTCTATACCTCAGTAGATTGTAATTCCAAAAGTGCGCAACCACGGTGAGATGCTGTTTGCAACTAATTTGCGCAAGTTAGACTTTTTAACCGACTTCCAAAAACGGAGGAGGTTATCAGTTCGTCGGAATATTTTTTTTTTTTTTTTTTTTATGTATGTTACCGCATAACTTTGGACCACGTCAACCGATTTCGATAATCGGAAAGGTAGTGTCTCAGAGGTGGTCCCATACTAATCTGGTTAAGATCCGATCAGCGGATCATGAGATATATACATATATATATATATATTTTTTATATGGGAGTTGAAGTCGGTTTTTTTTTTGCTAAAAATTACTAGTTCTTTTTCTAGAGCGGTTTAGAAATTAAAGAGACTGGTACTTTGTATTTTGATGTTTTTAAGTGCACCTAAACTATACTACAATAGTTTATTGGCAGATGATATACACGGTGCGCTTGGATAAGGTTCAACCCAAAGATCCTTGCCGATCCAGCTTTTCTTCAAATTTGATTTGATCAAAAATTAAAATATTCTATAGAAGGATTAAATAGATATCTCGATTATCCTTAATTTTTCGTAGAATGACTTTTCTAACTACATAAGTCCAAGACCATACTGCGGTAAATATTTTGGACGGAGACTCGTTCTGTAATCATGGTGAACCGTTGAATTGAATTTGCCTTCATTTACATTTTTGTCCGATAGTTTTATTATTGTTGTTGGATTGACTTCAAATCGTTATGAGAGACGAAGTACAGGTATACCGTATACCAATAAAAATACATACTTATACAACACAAGTATGACAGCCGTTAGAACTTGGCAAGAAGCGGTGGCTGAAACAAAAAAATGTTACACCGTTTTACAGTTTTACCCCTCACTGCAGGTTTATGAAAAGGCAATGTTGAAATTGTAATTAACGCTTTAATTTAATTTTTTTTTGATTGTGGGTTTAAATGGTGTGGCAAATATATACACATGTAATGTATTTATGTACATTAGGAAAATATTAATGAAATTGCTTAGGAAGGATAGCAATGCTGGATTATAGCTAAATAGTTAGGAGATATGTACAGTAAAACAATTACGAAACTCATTCTCATACGCATTCCACTAATTCTCGTTTCAGTATATTGTTTGCCGACATTGTCGGCTTTACCGTCTTGTCGTCGCAATGTAGTGCACAGGAGTTAGTAAGACTGTTGAACGAGCTGTTCGGGCGATTTGATCAACTGGCGCACGTAAGTCAATAATCAATTTCTACAACTGCGTAAATATGTATTAAAGAAATCAATTTTTTTTCAAAATCTTCCAGGACAACCACTGCTTGCGCATCAAAATTCTCGGCGATTGCTACTACTGCGTTTCGGGTCTGCCTGAACCGCGTAAAGATCACGCTAAGTGCACCGTCGAAATGGGGCTGGATATGATCGATGCCATTGCGTACGTACACAACTTTTTTATACAGGACATGGAAGTTTATACGCACATACTTTTGCACTTACAACTTTCTTTTTTTTATTTCTTCTACAGCACCGTGGTGGAGGCCACCGATGTGATATTGAATATGCGTGTGGGCATACATACGGGACGGGTGCTTTGCGGTGTACTGGGGCTACGCAAATGGCAATTCGATGTCTGGTCCAACGATGTGACATTGGCCAATCACATGGAATCGGGTGGAGAACCGGGGCGAGTGCATGTTACACGCGCCACACTTGACGCTCTATCGGGCGAATATGAAGTTGAAGCAGGACATGGCGATCAGCGTTCGTCGTATCTACGTGATCATGGTGTGGATACGTATTTCATAGTGCCACCACCTCATCGGCGAAAGGTGAATGATTTTAAAATATCTTACGACACTGAACTCACATAAAGTGCATAGACCTACTTTCAGTTGCTGTATGGCCATCATTTACTTATTCATAACTTTTTTTTTGCTTTCCGTTCTATTCTCTATGGTTGCAGCCATTAATGCTAAATACGCTTGGTGTACGCTCGGCCATTGGTAGTCGTCGCAAATTGTCATTTCGTAATGTCTCGAATGTTGTGATGCAACTATTGCATACGATAAAATTTTCGGAGCCAGTACCATTTTCCAACATTGCCACCGGGTCGTTTCCATCATCGGCCGGCAACGGCACCGGAGCGCGTGGCAGCACAGCCGATGGTACCGGCGGGGATAAGAGCACGCGTAAGGTAAGTGAAAATTTTTACATTCGCATGACTTGATTTCAACTTCAAGGAAAATCTGTTAAATCCCCCTGTAAAAATGTTTATTTTACATAGCTTATTACATATGTACATACCTACAAAAATTATTATTATTATTAAATTATTAAATCAAAACTGGGACGCATTAAGCTTAGTATTCGGCTTTCAAGAAAGATTTTTAATTTTTTTGACGCTTGAAAAAGTATCGTAAATTTTCTTTAAGAAAGACAAAAATATGGGAGTATTTTTAACCGACTTCAAAAAGGAAGAAGATTATCAATTCATCGGAATACCTTATATACATAACTATTTTTTTAACGTATTTTACCGGATAACTTTAGACCAAGCGAACCGTTTTCGATAATTTTTTTTCGGAAATGTTCTACCTCAAGGGTGGTCTCTTACTAATTTGGTTTAGTTCTGATCCTTGGGTCATGAAGAAGTTAACGGTACTCCACAAATTTGTATATGGGCATTGACGTCAGTTGTATTTCTTGCAAGAACTGCAAACCGGTTTAAAAAAATTGTATATTTACCTAGAAGTAGTGAATTTCTTTTCAAGCTCTTAAGCGTTTTATATGAATTTTTTCGTGCGAGCTGAATACTATGCTGATTTAATCAGTTTAAAGTGGAGAATATAGTTTTTGTAAATACAATATTATATGTTAAATAGTTATTATAAATTTTTAAACAATTTGAAATAGTTTTAATTGAGTTAAGTGCCCCACCCCCGTAGCTAAAAGTTAAGCTAACTCTTGCATGAAGTGCTGATTCTACAAACCGCTTAGCTTTTTAATTTTGTTTTTTTAAATATTTAAAAATTGGCAAACAATTGCAGACAATCATATACTTAATAAAAATCCGGGGATTTACATAATTAGTTTAAAACTTCTCGAGCACCTTCCAAAATCAGTCTATTGCACACCCAAGCAATTACAACAATCAATTACCAGTACCATTCCACTAAACTTCGAAATTTGTTACTAATGTGCCACACATTTCTTACCTACTAAAATTGCGTATTGCTTTCGTTAATAGTTTTGTGTGTATTTTACTTTTAATTTATTTTCATTTTTATTTTCAGGATGCGGTAAGTGTGTTGCTCATATTCGTAGCTCTCTTTAGAATATAGCTAACCTAGTACTTTTACCGCATTACATTTTATATGTAACGTAATGTAAACAGTAAATTGTAAATTACATGTATGTATGTATCTCGTAATTGTAGCTAGAAGATAGTATAAATATAACAAAATTCTTTGGTGTGGGTGCAGTTTTTATACCAAATTCTAAATTACAAATTTCTACCAGTGTTGCCTTGTTTTTTATTTTTCGTTTGCTTACCAACTCATTGGATTCATCACAATCGGTTAAAAAGTATACATGTCTGTAGTGTATGTTATTGTTGTAATAAAATTGACTAATTATGTACATATATTCTTTGGAAAAGTTAATTTAAATTTAGATGGTAGGTAATTGCTAGTTAAGAAATTTATTATACTTTTATTTTTTGTATCTACGATACTAAAAGTGCGGGGAGAGCGGATTTTCCAAGGTATACCTAAAATATAAAAGCATTGAAATTTTACATATATTTCAAAATTTCGTCCAACCCCAGAACAATAATCACATCGCACAGTGGGATTTCGGCGGAAAAAAATTTATTGGTGAAGGTCAAATTTTGTCGTTTTTTTGCACTTATTACTAATACTACACCCCTTGGGTGACCCGGTTTTACAAGATTTGGCGGCAGATATAATTTCAAGTTTGAAAACTAAGCCAGTAAAGTCATGGGACTGAATACATACCTACATAAAAAAATTTTAAAATACATACTTGTTTCAAGTGCCGGAACTCTGAAACGAACATCCGCTTAGCAGATCATTTCGTGTTCACCATAAGAGGCATATGTCGAATTATTGAAAATGTCAGTTTAGTGTACATAAATATTTAATTTAATGAAATTAGTATTTTTTCCGCGCATTTCTTCATTCAATGGACTATATCCATATGTAAACCTTCCAGAAGGAGTTCTTGAGAAAATTTATACTGGACTTAGTAAACTGTTTTGCATACTTTTACCAAAAAGCGACATGCTGCAACTAGCGTAAAAAAAATGTATCGGTTTGTTGACCTTGAAAGCTAAACAGTTTTACTAAACATGAGATGCCATTTTTATAAACATATATAGAGTTTCTGCTTTCCCTTTTTATATAACTTAGCTTGCACAAGTCTGCATGCTTTGTATGAAACGGGGTCTTTTCTTTACCTTTTTATAGCTTTTTAAAGCTTCTTGGGGTTACGCCTGTATGGGTGCGCATCAAAATAAACCGATTTAGGTGTATTTGCCTATACTATCATTATATGGCCAAAATTTCGAAGTCGTGCATTCATCGCTGTGCTTTTAATTACATTTTAAAGCATTTTTAGGTTAGGTTTGTATGAGAGGTATGCGCTAAAGTAAATCGATTTTGCTAATTTTTTGTATGTTCACTTACTCTATTATTGTGAATATGTGGACGAAATTTCGGAGTCATTCATTCAACGGTGCCCTTTGAATGGCATTTTAAGGCGTTTTTGAGGTTAAGTTTGTATGGGAGGTATGCTTTACAATAAACCGATCACACCCATTTCTTGTTTTCTTTTTCTTGATTTATGTCCTTAGAGGTTACGAAAAATTAAAGCCCTACGCCTACTCCTTATATTTAGCTCCAAACAATGTATGGAAGAAATGACGAAAACGCTGGCCAAGATTCAAGAAATTTGAGTTGTCCGACTTCACTACAGCAGTTTTAACTTGCTATTCTCACTGAAGTTTACGTTGCTTTGCTAATAATAATAATAAAGTTGTGCTTCCGAATTTTTGGTTTTAAAATAGTGGTTAAAGCACTTAGTTATTTTTTGCAAGATAGAGAGCGTTCTGACGGTATATTAAATATTCTAAATCCATAAATGTAAATTTTTCATACAAGTAAATACATAAAAAATTTATTTTAAGTGTAGTCTCAAGAATATTTTTTTTTAGATTGTGAAAAAGTTGTTATCGCGGGAGATCGGACTATTCTGCACTTTGCAGATAAAGCAAAAAGAACGTACTTCAAGAATTCAAAAAGAAAGTAGCTACATTCGTCCACATTCTATTGTAATACACGATTGAATAGCGCGATGAAATAATGGCAGTGCTCATTGTGTTGTGTGGAAAGCTTACACAGGGCAACACTGATTTTGCTGCGGCAAATGTTTTTGATAGACTTTTGTGCTCAATGCGAATCCGTAAGTATAAGGTTTCCATCAGGTCCAGATTTTGGTTATTTGAGAAGCTCTAGCAAAGAAATAAAAGGCGATAAAATCTTCCACTTAGGCTTAAATTAAAGCTAGGACTCTCGACTACTATTCTCGAAAATACCACCCCTACCTTGACCTAAAAAATAATAGAAAATTGTGCTATTGGAGAAAAAAAATTGTCAAAATCAGATTTTGCTGTTCAATAAATGACCTTTTGGGTCAAGATACAGGGATGGTATTTTGAGGGACAGTCGTCGAGGGTTACGGCTTTAATTTAAGCTTAAGTGGAAGGTTCAGTCATCTTTGTTTCTTTGCCAGAGCTTCTCAATTATAACATTTTGAGTTTTTAAAAAATACCGTTATATGGGAAGTGGACGCATTTGTTGGCGGATTTCATTTATATTAACACCTTATACTACTACTTACTAAAGAAGCTTGTGTTCCAAATTTTAAGTTTCTAGATTACTATTTTTACTATTTATTGTCAGCTTTTTCGTGATTTCTCCCATTGTGCGTCGTTGAATGGCATCTATGATTTGTACTGAAAAGTTTACAGCTTAGTTTTTGATTTTAACCCACATAAGCTAAAAAGCCTTATTCTATTCGATTGTTGTAAATGCTAATATAGTGTGCAGAGATTGAGCCATCACTACACCCTTTTGATTGTATATTCAGCGCGAAGGCGCTACAATGCATAGGGAGCCAATAGGCTATGGTTTATAGAGAACTCTTATGATTCAATCCCACTATCTATCTTATAGTTTAAATTTTAGTCATCATTGAAAATGGCGATGATCGTAAGCTTAGGCCACTGGGCTTTTCTATTCGATCATCTCTGCAATGTTAAGGAAAAATCCATTTGTCTCTCTAAACTCAATGCGGAATAGTCCAATAGCATATTCCAGCAGTGTGACCACTTTGTGAGTAATTCCTCAAAACGTGAGGAATTTTGGGTGCGTTTGATTTTTTTTTAGGATTTTTATTTTGAGGAATTTTCTCTCCGTATATTTGCAAACAACCCATGCAACCATGATTTACATAACAGAATTGTTAAATCGCTCTGGAAATTTTTGAACAAAANACCACTCTCCAATGATGTTCTTGGCTTTGAAGTCGGTTCGGCAGAATCTCCAAACGAACGGTGACACAATTTATGTTAGCGTATTAATATACACATGCTGATTGTTTCACATTAAAGAGCGAAATACACCACACAAGCGGCTTGTCAAACATTCTTCAAACCGACTTTTCCCATTTCGCCATACACCATGCAAACATGACTCGTTCAAGCAAAGAATTTTAGTTTTCTTCCGGTTCAAAATGTAAAAGAATTTGGTTTTCTTCGAACACCCCCAAACACACAACACAAGTAACTTTAAGCAAAGAGATATTTCGCTTGGTTTGTCAAGCCGCTTGGGTAGGGATGCAAATTTTGGGGAGTAACATCGATACATCGATGTTTCAATGCATCGGAAAAATTAATATCGATGCTAAAATACATCGCCAGAAAAACATCGATATATCGATGGTTTCCGATGTTTCAAAAGTTGTTAGGTTGTAGTCACATTAAAACGAAAATTTAATACTTTTCAATTCAAACTAACTGTAATTCAATTAGAAATATACTTACATATGGATGTATTTCCATGTATTTATTTACCACTCCTTAACCCTTCCTATAAATAGAATAGAAATGCATGCCGTTGCACAGTGTTTCGACTATATGGAGGGAATTATGAAATTTGGTAAAGATGGAATGATTGCCACGCCTTCTACTCTTGTGGGCGGAAACATTAAATTTCATCCTATTTCGATTTCATCCTAGTTTGAGCTCACCTTTTTATTATAAAATATGGGGAAGATTGGATCACAATAGCGTCCAAAAATCACAAAAAATGTGGGCCCAATCGTTAAATGTAATGGAATTTTGGTAAATTTTTGTTTCCTGCTTTTCACTCTCAGAAAACAAGCGTTATACTATAAATTGACTTAGGTGTAAATACTCGCTTTTTCCAGTGTTGGGTGAGATTTTTTCATTGTTCGAAAAATTCTTTTCGCGAAATTATGCAAAAAGAGGCTGAAAATCAAAAATTTAGAAAATCAAAAATTACATATATTTGCAAAGTCGCGCGCAAAGATCAAATTATGTATTCTAATTATATATTCTAAAATTACATAAAATTCTCTAAAACATTTGTCTAATTTCAAGACCTGACGGACCGGCACTGACACTTTTTTTACTAATAATCTTTAGCATCTACATTTCAAAGCAAATTTTTTGGTAAGAAAATAGGAAAGTACCAAATAAATGATAAATACCTTCACCTGAATATTCCACGATATTTAAATAATGGATTATGGTTGAAAATGAAACATTTTCTTTAATGGGTTAATCGCCAAAGGCAACTTAACTGATTACACGGTATCGCGCCGATTCCCGTAGTTCTTTGGAAATGTAGCGTTCGTGAAGAAGGGGAGTGAGTAAATAATGTGAAATGTGGTATTTGTGACTTTTACTTTTCCCTCTCTAAGTCCAACTAGTGTTTTTAATCAACTGTCACCATGACTTTTTCTATCTGCCTCCATATAGTCGAAATACTGTGCGTCGTAAGTTCGATGAGCCTAAAGTTCCAGGGCCCAATTTCGGTAAAATTTCAACGGGATCCCGGACTAAGTAAGCATTTTTAGTAGCGAAAGATAAGAGTAAACTCGGAATTTCTGAATGTTCCTCAAAAGAATAAAATTCATGGCCAGTCAAAAAATTTTGGGAGCATAAGTCGATGTTAAAACATCGCTGAAACTGGCA